CGTCAAAACGGTCACACCAGTGCATCAGCCAACACTAAAGTGCAAATCTACCACCAGAAGAGCACTGTCGCCACCGGCTCAAAGGTGCCCTTAGACGACTCGACCTTCTCCGCCAACGCCATCGTCTCCACTGTGAACGTCACTCAGAACATCAAGTCGGCGAAGGTGGCAGAGGGCGTCACTGAGATCACCATCAACCGAGTGTACGAGACGGCGGTGAAGAACAGCACGTGCATTGTCAAGTCCAGTAAGGTCATTACCGGTACCAAGTACTCGGCGATTGGAATGGAAAGTGCTGGTGACGGAAGTTTTGTCAGCAGCAGTTCCAGCAGCTCCAGCAGCAGTACCAGTAGCATAAACAGCAGCAGCAGGGCAGCTCAGCAGCAGCAGCAAGCTGAGGAGTACTTTGAAGATCGGCTGAGTGAACACGAAGAGTACGAAGAGCGGCAGGAAAGTGATGATATTGTGCTAGAAGAGGAGCACCAGCTTTCAGAGCACAGTTATGTACCAGCTGGTAAGCACAGCTCAGCAGCAACAGCAGTTCGTAAAGATTCGGAACCGATGATGGCTCAGCTCTATGAGCAGTTTGAGGCGGAGGTGGAAAATCTCCAACGAGAGCAGTCCTTCATTGAGCAGCAAGAAGCGGCCGTCTCAAGATTGGAGCCGGTAAAAAGTGGTGGGAACTCAGTTATCAGCACCACTGCCACCACTACTGTGCTGCACTCTCAGCCAGTCACCAGCGAGCACTACGGACAGACGGAGGACCTTCTGCTCGAACAGGAGCAGGGAGAAGAGGAAGTGCTCTCCTCCTCGGAGCAGCGATCGTACAGTCAGTTCAGTACGGTCACCTCGGAGATGAAACTGCCACTGCAGTTTTCTGAAGTGGTCGATTCAGAGCGAGTTATCAGCTCCAGTGAAGAGCAGCGAGCCGAACTACTTAGCAGTACAACTAGCAAAAAATCCTCTTCATCATTCAGTGGCACGCAATCAGCAGATGGTTACAAACTGTCTTCCCAAACTCTGGTCACCTCTTCCTTTAGCTCTTCATCAGTGAGCAGCTCCTCCTACGTTTCCTCGTACGTCACCTCCTCCTCGCTGTCCACCACCTCAGTGAGCACCTCACAGTCCCAGTCACAACAGCATCCTCTTCTCAGCAGTATTCCCCTTCTTTCCCAATCACC